ACTACCTCCTCTCTCTCTCTCTCTCTCTCTCTCTCATTATGATTAACGTAAGTGTTTGCTATGTAATGACAACTTTAATGATAACATAGTCCTCCGCTTTTCCTGTTATAAATATTCCTCCCCTCTTCCCACCTCCCGTCAACTTCTCTCTTCTGTGGACAACGGAGGGATACGTCCAGGATGAGGGCTGGGGCGGGTTTCAATGCGACGGCGGTGGCGGCGGCGGCCGCGCCGGTGGTGACGGGGGGAGGCGACCACTTGACCTGGCACTCACCGGTGCCGTACCTCTTCGGCGGCCTGGCGGCGATGCTGGGCCTCATTGCCTTGGCGCTCCTTATCCTTGCTTGTTCGTACTGGAAGCTCTCCGGGTACCTCGAGGGCGGCGAAGACACGGGCAGCGGCGTCGAGCTGTACGTCAAGCCCGTCGCGGCGCCCACGGTCTACGAGGAGAAGGTCGTGGTGATCATGGCCGGCGATGCGAAGCCGACGTTCCTCGCCACGCCCATGTCGACCCGGGCGTCCTCTTATGGTGATCGAAGCTCTCAGAACGACGATGATGATGATGATGATCACGATGCGAAGAAGAAGGAGGAGACTGGAAATGAGACGAAGACGAAGACGAAGGACCAAACCCAAAGCCACCGTGAGAACCAGGACGCACAAGTCTGAGGCTCCTTTTCCCTTTGTCTTCTCCTTTTATTCTTCTTCGAGCCATCAAGGCTGTAAAATTTTCAGGTGAAGATGAAACAAAGAACTGACCTTTTAGCGAAAACAAATCAAAATGATCTCTTTTTAGTTGAAACTATTCCGTCCGAATGTCGGATTCGATGAGGAACCGAGAAGAAGGTTGAAGCTTCGCTGACTTGTCCTCTTGCATGTGTGAATGTCACTTTTGTGGTGGACTTCTTTTAGTGGGACGGAAAAAGTTGCACGTCATGAGTTGGTGCAGCTCGTGACTCGTCTTCAGTTCGATCATGGATGGTATAAGCTTCTGTCGCAGCCATTGCTGGCGAACCGCACAGCGGTGGCGGTGATGGCGTTCGGACAACTCGTCGGAGGACACCGGATGTTTGGTTTGATTTGGGTTCGAGTTCGAGGGAGAGGTGGGACTATTATTTATTCTATACCCATTTAACAAGGGTCTAAAACAAGTTATTATAGGTTATCTTCTCGTAGAATATTTCATGAAATATTATGCTTCATTACGATCAGATATAAAAGTTCATCTTTAACACAATAAGAGAGGGATCATTTGTTTAACCATTTATGTTTACACTCATATACATTGGTTACTAGTTTGAGCATCAGAGGGACTGAGTCGAAAAACCTATCTCGACATTAGTCTTCATACAGATAATACTTTGAGAGTTTAACGTTTTTATCTCGGAGACAACTCAGATAACTTTACGCATACGGATCACGTGATTAAAACATCAATAATTTCTCGACTATATATATATATATATATATCTCATTTTGAATTCGAATTTGAATTCAAATCCGTGCCAAAATCGTACCTTCTTCGAAAGCAGTAGGAGATGGACGGTCGAGATGAGACATCGACGGGTGATCACTCGAGTCGCAGAGGTGACAGCAAATCGGCGGTGGGTATGTTGCTGCCCTTTCTTGAACGCTTTCCCGCTAAGGTCTGCTCCGATTTCAATCTCGGATTAGGGCTTCCGATCCTCTGGTGACGGGTCTTTGAGGCCTCTAGTTGGTCTCGAGAAGACGCCTGCCGCATCCTCGAGCGAATCGCGAAGCGAAGCCCTCCACGATCTGGTAATCCATTCGAGGGCGTTTCCCCCACTCCACAACATCATTGTAGTTTCCGGATAGCTCTTGCAGCGCTAACTAGTCCGTAATCTTCTGATCTATTTGTAGGATAGATGTTTGATTAGCAGGAAAGTGCTACGGATGCTTTGGATTTGTGTCGGAGTTGTTACTCGACCAGAAGATTTGGATTTTCTGATGCTCTTTTTTTTGTTGGATCTGTTTTTTCCGATGATCCTTAGAAAATTTTGTCATGGTGATTACCTTAATCTTTTTCCAGACATGAAATTTTGAGAACTAAATGACCGTATGTATCTTGAAGACTTGTACAGGAACCGGAGGAACAGGTGATGGGAACATCTGGTACCAGGCTGCGATTCTTTGCTCCGGGAAGATTCACGTGTGGGTTTTCTTGCCGACCTCCAGCATTAGTCTCACAGTCTGCACTAGCGGTAGTGCGAAAAGGGTATGTGCTGGGACTCCAATACCATCTGGATTATAGTAGTTAGGCGGGAATGATAATGTTCGGCGTGCTAGTTGGTCAGTCCTATACGATGATGCTTTTGCTGTAGAGAGGAGAATGTAGAATTATACATTCAATGGATCTGGGTCAAATGAAATCTTGTGTCCTAGAAAGTGACAGTAGCTTCTTTGAACGCCTTGATTCTAAGGCGTTTCTACAGAAAAATCCGATGCCAAAAGCAAGTCCTTGGTAACTTGAAGGGGCACTAGTAGTGAATAGATAAAATCCATCACATGTTGCAACTACATGCACAGGATTTGCAGGGGCCAGCAAATGGTTGTCTGCTTATAGAATTAGCAGCAAGACCTTCGGTCGGATGCATTGGAAGTGTGATACAGCCCTGGAGATTTACTTCTAGCGGTGGCTTATGGCCTCGCTAAAAGTTTATTCTCCAATGGTTGTTGATGTAAGGAGCCTGCTGTACAAGCCTACTGTCTCGTATTTACTACAAGATAGTGTGGCTTATTGTCTTAGAAATAGCTATTGAAGGTCATATTTGCCTTGCAAGCTCTGTTGTGTAAACACTAATAGATCCATTCGAAGTTTTGACCGAATTAATCTGTTCTGTACATGATATTCACACCAGGAGTCTAAGATTTTCCAATCATATGAAAATTTTATTGTGCATTATTTCCTATTAAGAGCTTCCCCATTCATAAAAAAAATTGTGCAAGTGCCTGCTATAGTATAACTCTAGATCTTATTTTGAATCAAGGCTTATAATCTTCATTTGATACCAGTTTCAATACTTTGTCAAACCGATATGGTATCAGCATATCAGATAGTAAACAAATCTGTACAGCTTCTAGTACTGAAAACATAATAGTAAAATGACTACCAATTGATGCTGAGCTGTGTACTGGTCCTCCGGATTGATAAAGGCCTCTTAGTGCATGTCAGGCCAATCGGGTATTTGAAACCTTGCTTTCAATCTTTTTTTCATTCCATCCCCATACTTATCTCATATGAGGTGGCTCTCTCGTGAATCTTATTTCTGCTGACCTCACCTTTGGGCTCCCACAAGTCAGGTTTAAAAGAGAACCACTTCATATGAGAAACTCTAGAAATGGAACTTTGGTATGTGGATTTTGATCTCTTTTCTAACAAGTCCAGTGGCCCCTGGGTTAACTTTTATTGTTCTATAGATCAGGTTTAAAAGGGACCAGTTAATTGTCTTTTTAGTGCTTATATGATGGCTTGTTTCAGGAATATGTGTTATGAAGGTTTTCATGGTTTTGAATAGGTGATCTCTTGTCTATGAAACTTGAAAGGCTTTCACATTGTTTTTAGATTTGGTATATGCAGGAGATGCTACCGGTGAAGAGCCAAAATGTGAATCTGAAGCATTCGCTTTTACTTGATGTTATTTTTCTGAAATATCCTTTAGAATATCACACTACAAAACACAACGACAAAAAAGATCCTTGTAGCTGACCACAAATAGTTGGACATTATGTCTAATGGGTTATACAAAAGAAATGGGGGATGCTATAAGTGTTGAGGTGGTTCTTGCAGCCTATATAGCACAATTTCCCACTGTTGTCTTACAGAAAAAGCGAATTGAAATTACATCTTTATAATTTTTATTTTTAGCTTCTTGTCACTATCTCCATTTGAGTAGTAGAGAGGCATGAAGCTTGCATAAGGATCCTGCATGAAGCTTCTTGTCACTATCTCTCATCTTTGTTCTGCCTTTGTGGCCAAGAACAATAATGGCTAATTGTTTTGAGTAATTAATTGCTGCCGCCGAAGCAAATCTATCAGATCCATTTCTCTTATGTTTTTTCATTTACTATTTTAGTGGCTAAAATTGATTCGAGTTTGAGACTCTAGTCATCTGATGACCGCGGCAGATGGTCATGCAAAATGAGACCCTTGAGCAATGAAAACCTAGATGCTCTAATGATGTACCTCCTTGAAGACTGAAAAGTCTGGAAACTCTTGGCACATGAAGCGTTGGATTTCCTATAGCACATATGTAAGGCTGCACAAAGCTGCTCTGTGACCAGATTGTATTGTCACCATCTGGAACAATGCAAGTCACCAGTAGTGAAGAGGTTATTTTTTGAAAAAAAATTGAGAAGATCTGTCTAATTGATTGATATTTTTTGCTTTGCCCTATATACTACTTCATACTCAACACAAGCATCATGATGTTTCGGCTCAAAGGTGCTTATAATCCTTGTAGGATTGAAGATATTTATCATTATTCCATAGGTCAGATTAAGAAAACAACAGTTATTTATAGATTGCTTTGTTCTTTTTACCATTGAAAATATTTAATATGGTCACACATGGTTGATAGCTCTAGATTGTCTTTTTTCTTGTCTGTAAATTTATTTTTCTTCCAATTGTTTCTTTTGTATATGGAGGGGGCCTTACTGTTGAATTCCAATCATATCTTTGGAACATTGTTTTACAGTTTATGTTGTCTTCTTCTGAATAATTGATTTGGAGTGGCAAATCTGTATCCATATTCATCAGAGCGGCAAAACCTTTTCCATAGTGGATAATGAAATTTTAAGTGAGAACCACTGACAAGATCTTTAGCGGCCAAAGAAACTGTTTGACACCAGATCTGTACACATCATATATTTGAGATTTTATTTGCTAAGGCTGTATTGAAATATTGAAAATGACTGCTGCCTCAAACTTGGGGTAATTGTTCTTGATCAGTCTACTTTTCCTTGAGATGATTAGTTTGCTTGCTAAAGCAATATGCTGATGCTTATTTTTGTCAACTTAAGTTTTGCACATCAATCAATTTGTTTCAAAGTTCAGCTTGATGTGTTGATATACATACTATCTTATATGATATCAGACCTATAAATTTTATTTTGTTTGTAACACAAAATTCCCATGTTTAGTACTTAAAAAATGTAAGTTGGTGATGCTGACAGTTTTAGGTTGAAATGCCCTTAAAAATCTTATGTAGCAGCCTTTTGCAGTTCATATTATGTCACTGTTTGATCGGTGTTTCCTATTAAACATCAGGTTTTTGATACTGTGTTGGCCATCCACCTACAACCTAGCAGCTGATGCTGAACATTTCCGAAACTCCCAAGCACAACGGTCCTCCTGTCTCAGAATGGCTATGGGATGCCATTTGTGGTTGTGCCGCAACCATCAAGGTAATGCCTTCTAGATGTTTACAACAGCTGTTTACCTCACTATCACTTGATCTTAAGGTTTGCCAAATAGCTTTATGCCGACTTTGCAAAGCCATGGAAAAAGTGACAATGTCGTGATGCTCAGGAAACTCATCAAGTACCAAATCTTTTGCAGAGGGGACCGGTGATGCATATCTCCACGGTAGCTGTTGATGATGATGTTAATCCATGCACTCCATCATCCGTCGCCATCCTGGAATGGCACTGGAGGAGGCCCCCGCGGTACGTGGAAATGAAGTGTATCAGCAGTAGTTGTCGTTTTCATTCATATGCTTGTTGTGAGCTGGATTGAGATGAGGCTGATGATATAAGCAAAAAGGCCTCGCGTAGGGGCACTTGGAAGAATCTGATCCACTCCCACCAATCCGATTCTCTCGTAGCCTAGGAGCTACAACACCAGGCAAGCGCCTATGAGTTGGTGGAATCTGAACCGTCCGTCTTGAAAGGTACACATGATGGACGGTCGGGATCCACCCCAATTTGATGGAACTAGGATTCTTGCATCTTTTTCTTTATGCGCATCGCCTTCCCCTGGTAGTATGAGGTGCCAGCTATCGGGTTTCTAGGCTGTGAGAAGGTAGTGGGCTCAACACAACTTGGTTCATTTTGCCGACATATCTATCAAGGATTTTGGTTACGTGAAGTAATGCGATGCACACCTCAGATCAATGGGCAAAGTGATGAATCATCATCTTCTTTATTTTATTGCGTCTTCTGTCACTTGTAATTACACAAATTTGTAGAAAAACAATAATATTAAAATTATTCATATGCAAGCTTCAAAATATATAAATATTTCATTTCCACTAGATGCAATTATATATCCTTGATTATTCGTGCGAATTATCTAACTCTATGTATTCTTTTAATCAGGGCTGAAGACTGCTTTAAGATTTTACATTTCGTGAACTGCAAAATGATTGTCCTGTTTCTGATATGGACATTCCTCAGCTCGCGATGTCTTGTCATCGGTCATGGTTTCTTTTGAACAGGCTTCGATTGGGTATATTATATTCATATCTCAGAGAACAAAACAGGTCAGTACTTTTTGTTTCCTTAATGTTCTACCCTATTCAAAGTGGAGTATTTATTTACTTGTTTTGGCTAGAATTGCACTATTTAGATTAATTAAATGATACCAGAAGCTTTTTTTTAATGACTTAAATAACCTAATATCATTTTTCCTTGCGTGCTAGTTGCGTATGTTTATTAGCTTTATATTAGCTTTATATGGTTATTATTATGTCTATTGTGCATGTTTACATGGTTTCTTCTTATTTGTAGTGGCAGACTTGTTCGAATAATCATGAAACAAAATCACGCAAATCCTTGCCTGTTGATTAATCTAAATTTTTTGGGTTTATACTCTTCATCCCGATGCATTCAAGTCTTTAGTAGTACAGAGTGATCTATATATATCTATTAATCTTCTTAAATTTCACATGAAGTTGAAGATCATATGCGTCTTCTTCTATGTCCACTCACGCAACTTCTACTTGAACACCTTAACTTGCCCTGTCTTGATATGTGTTGGGAAAAACATGTTAAAGCGGAATAATTTTTTCTCTCTTTGTGTATCAAAATAGGTTTTTTATCAAAATACCAACTTGATATCCAAATGCAAATATTAACCAGCATAGCATAAACAATAGAGCAAAAAATAAATCACATAGTGAGACTAAATCTTTTAATGTGGAAAACCCAATGTGGGAAAAACCACGGGACAGTAGTCCACCTCAAACTTCCACTATCAATAATAATGATAACGAGTTTACAGTAGGTTTTCTCTAGAATAACTAGAGCATCAGAATAACATTAAGATCATAGATCTTGGCTCAAGAAAAGCATGTCTTTATCATGTCGGATGGATCTCCTCAAAAGAGAATTCTAAGTATATATTTCCTGTTTCAAGCCCGATTCCTGTAGAAACTTTTTCATCCATAAAGTTTCCTTACAGGCTTCAGTAACTGCTATGTATTCTGCTTATGTGGTTGATATAGCAACACATTTCTGTAACTTAGACTGCCAAGAGACTACTCCTCCTGCAAATGTTATTAAGAATCCCGAAGTGGACTTCCTGGAATCAGTATCACCTGCCATGTCTGCATATGTGTAACCTTCTAACACAGGTTCATCACTGCCAAAACATAAACACAACCTGGAAGTACCTTTTAGATATCTTAATATCCATTTCACTACTGCCCAATGTTCCTTTCCAGGATTTGAGAGAAATCGGCTGACAACTCCAACTGCATGAGCTATATCTGGCCTAGTACAAACCATAGTATACATCAAACTGCTTACTGCAGATGAGTAAAGCACTCTGGACATTTCTTCTTTTTCTTTCTCACTTGTAGGATATTGTTTCGAACTAAGCTTGAAATGACCTGCAAGTGGGGAACAAATTGGTTTGGCTTTACTCAAGTTGAATCTTTCAAGAACATTTTCAATATAAGTCTCCTTAGATAGCCAAATCTTCTTTTTCTTCCTATCACGAAAAATCTTCATGCCAAGTATTTGTTTCACCGATCCCAAGTCTTTCATGGCAAAAGACTTACTTAGCTCTCTTTTAAGCTTTCCAATTTTTTCAACATCATGGCCAACAATCAACATATCATCAACATATAGCAGTAAAATAATAAAATCATCATATGAAAATTTCTTCATAAACACATAATGATCAGATGTGGTTCTATCATACCCTTGGCTCATCATAAAGGAATCAAACTTCTTATACCATTGTCTAGGTGCCTGTTTGAGTCCATATAAGCTTTTCCTAAGCTTACATACCAGATTTTCTTTTCCCTTGACTTTGAAACCTTTTGGTTGCTCCATGTAAATTTCTTCTTCTAAATCACCATGAAGAAATGATGTTTTTACATCAAGTTGCTCAACTTCTAAATTCAAGCGGGGAGACAAACCAAGAACAACTCGGATAGAGGACATTTTCACAACCGGAGAAAATATTTCTTCAAAGTCAATACCTTTCTTCTGACTGAATCCTTTCACAACTAGTCGTGCCTTGTATCTCTGTTGTGAGCTATTACTTTCAGTCTTCAATTTGTAAACCCACTTATTCTTGAGAGCTTTCTTCTCTTTAGGCAACTTTACCAAGTCATAGGTGTAGTTCTCAAGCAAGGATCTCATCTTTTCTTGCATGGCTTTAACCCACTCATTCTTATTCTCATGTAGAATAGCTTCTTGGTAAGTTTTTGGCTCTCCCCCGTCAGTAAGCATAACATACTCATGTGGAGGATATCTGGTAGAGGGTTGTCGCTCTCTAGTGGATCTTCTCAATAGAATCTCAACTGGTGGTGGAGGTAGCTGTTTAGTTGGTTCAGTATCATCAACTGTAGGTGTATCATCACTGGTATTCTCATCGCAATCTTCTTGTTCATCTCCCCCATGATCATCATGAACTACAAGTGAAGGAACTGGACCCAAACTCCAAGGAATATAAATAGAGGTTTCTGGCTTCTCAACATTTTCACTATCATCAAATAATTAGTCTTCAAGAAACATAACATCTCTGCTTCTAATAATCTTCTTGTTCACTTGATCCCATAATCTGTACCCAAACTCTTCATGACCATATCCCAAGAAGATACATGCTTTTGCTTTACTATCAAGCTTAGACCTCTCATCTTTGGGAATATGAACAAATGCTTTACATCCAAAGACTTTTAAGTGATTATAAGATATATCTTTTCCTCTCCATACTCTCCGGAACATCACCTTGCAGAGGAACTAATGGAGAAAGATTTATCAGGTCAACTGTAGTTCTCATAGCCTCCCCCCAAAATGACTTTGGTAACTTGGTGTGGGAAAGCATACACCTAATCCTTTCTTCAATGGTTCTGTTCATTCTTTCTGCCACACCGTTCTGCTGAGGAGTTTTAGGAACTGTTTTCTCAAGCCTGATACCATGGAACCTGCAATAATTCTCAAAAGGACCCTTGTACTCGTCACCATTATCTGATCGAATACACTTTAGTTTTCTGTCAGTTTCTCTTTCAACACTGACATGAAACTCTTTGAAAACATCGAGTACCTCGTCTTTAGATTTCAAAGCAAAAGCCCACACTTTTCTAGAATAGTCATCAATAAAAGTAACAAAATAAAGAGCACCTCCAAGAGTTCTAGTTTGCATAGTACAAACATCATTATGAACTAAATAAATAACATCTGATCTTCTAGATGATGGATATGTCTGAAATGCAACTCTATGTGTTTTTCCAACTAAGCAATGATCACAAGATTTAAGAGATGTACCTTGCAACTCTGGTAAGAACTACTTTCTAGCAAGAGTTAGAAGTCCCTTATCATTGATATGTCCAAGCCTCTTGTGCCAAAGATCTATACTTTCACCTTTTCGAATTGCATTAATCTCTCCTTTGTGTAGCTTAGCTTCCATGACATAAAAAGAGTTAATCTTCTTTCCTTTTGCCACAATTAGAGAACATTTAGTGAGTTTCCATTTACTTTCACCAAAATAGTGTGCAAAGCCCTTATCATCAAGTCTACCTGTAGATATCAAGTTAAGACGAATATCTGGAACATGCCTTATATCTTTGAGTATTAATTTGCTCCCAATACTGGTCTACAAGCAAATATCTTCAATACCCACAATCTTAGATGTACCATTGTTTCCCATTCTTACATTACCAAAATCACCAACAGTGTAAGATCTAAAGAAATCACCATGAGAAGTGACATGAAATGAAGCACCAGAGTCAATTACCTAATTACTGTCCTGAGCTACAAGGCTAACACAACCTTCATCACTGACATTAGTGATATTACCTTCAGCAGTAATTGTATTGGTCTCTTTCTTATTTTTCTTCATTTCATTCTATTCTCGTTTCCAAAACCTACACTCTTTCTTCATGTGACCTGGTCTGTTACAGTGAAAACATTTGATATCTCTTCTAGACTTGGATCTTCCTCTATATGGATTTCTGCTATGACTTCTTCCACGTCTTTCTTGTTTTTTAGTAACAAATGCACCAGAAGAAGATTCACCATGTTCTTTCCTTCTGGCATCTTTATTTAGCAAACTGTCTTTAACCATATCTATAGTTAGTGTCCCTTCTGGCGTGGAGTTACAAATAGTCACCACATACGTTTCCCAACTTTCTGGTAAAGAGCTGAGAAGTAATAATCCTTGCATCTTATCATCTATATTCATTTTCATAGCAACCAACTTGTTTGCAAGACTCTGAAATAGGCTTATGTGCTCAATAATGTTACCACCATCTTTATACTTCAAATTTACAAGCCTTCTGAGGAGAGAAATTCTATTTTCCACTATCTTTTTCGCAAAGAGGTTTTCTAACCTTTGCCAAACAATATCAGCTTTGATTTCATCTCAAATATGCTCATGTAAGTTTATATCCATCCATTTTCTAATATAGGCAATAGCTTTTCTATGTTTACTTCCCATTCTTCATCGTCCATAGTAGAAGGTTTATCTTTAACCATGATAGGCTTATACAAATCTTTGCAATATAACAAATCTTCCATCAGACGCCTCCAAGTGAAATAATTTGATGAGTTCAATTTAATCATACCATCTGACTGCTCAATTTCAATCACACAAGAAAAACTAGCACAAAACAATCTGATGCTCTGATACCACTGGTTGGGAAAAACCTGTTAAAGCGGAATAATTCTTTCCCTCTTTGTGTATCAAAATAGGCTTCTCATCAAAATACCAACTTGATGTCCAAATGTAAATATCAACCAGCACAGCATAAACAATAGAGCAAAAAATCAATCACACAGTGAGACTAAATCTTTTAACAAGGAAAACTCAATGTGGGAAAAACCACGGGACCGTAGTCCACCTCAAACTTCCACTATCAATAATAATGATAACGGGTTTACAGTAGGTCTTCTCTAGAATAACTAGAGGATCAAAATAATATCAAGATCATAGATCTTGGCTCAAGAAAAGCATATCTTCCGGATGGATCTCCTCAAAAGAGAATTCTAGGTCTCATAGAGTGGATATCGCAGGAAAGTATCTTAGAGAGGGTAAACTGTAGATCAACACCGTTAGAATTGTAGAGTTTGCTGTAAAGATTCTCCACATAAAATTTGGGCTGAAACTGACAACATTTGGCCATCTATCGTCATGTAG